GACAGAAAAACTGGAATCCAGCTCTCCTGACTGTGTTGATTTGCACCAATGTTATGGGACTAAAAAAACCCATATTAAGAATACTTAGTAAAATAACACAATTAAGCAAGAGAAGTATATTTCAGTAGTGTGAATGACTGATCATCAGTTACATTCTGGTTCTGTGCTCTTGGCTCTGACCCACACATTATGTTCAAATGGCAAACAGTTGCTATTAGCAAGACGATGCAGTATTCTGGATCAACATATGATGTGCCCAAATCTGAAAGCACAGAAAACCCTCAAGGGAAAGTAACTTCACATCAGACTACTGAAGGACTAATATCCTTATATACTTTATCCATTGTCAGTTTCAGTCTTACCAGTTCATTTGGTAGACTTATAATACCTCTCTGTGAATGATCTATCCATGAATTGAAATAATTTTGCAGCTCCAGAAAGTTGGACAAGTAAGCCTCTTCTGCAGTCCTGTTTATAATGACCTATACCATGAAGTACAACATACCAGAATGTTTTGAGACTAGCACTCAAAACTGTCCATGCTTTTGTCCCATACATCTGATTACCCTCTGCTTACACATGTGCAAAGCTACTGTGTGAAGGTTGAGGAATTTTTTACTTATCTTATATTCAAAACTATAGTCAAACAATGAATCATCCAAGATAAGTCACAGTATTCTCATTTACTTGACTGCTCAATATTTAGTACTTACTCTAGTGCTAATGGAAGCAGTCATAAGTTGTAGTAATCCTTTGGGACCTATTAATGCTGGATTTTCACTGACACAGTCTTTCTCTGTTCTTTATTTGATTCCCCCACAATCAGAAACAAACAAGAGACTGTGCAATTTAAGTGCATTTCCTAAGACAGAGAATTAAAAGCAATAGATAAAAAGAGCAAAGCATTAGAATGGAAGAAGACGAATTAAGACCAGAGAACCAAAGGCAAACGCCCATCTAAGTAGGCCACCCACACTGTTAATATGGATAAGTGAAAAATTTTAAAGAGGAGCATAAACGTTAGCATGTTTGTATTGCAAACTGGTAAATGCTCCAGTTACTGCTTCCCAAAATAGCAAGGAAATGGCACATCTCTCCTCATGAGATCTCAGCATCACACTCTGAGCTACAAAGGAAACTAGGTTACACAGGTTTATTGGAAAGTCTGCTCATTGCCATTGGGAAAAGAGCATTTAATGGACCTAAAAAAGAGCATTTAATGCCTAATAAAGAGGCTGTAGTACTGAAAGAGGTCATATGAATACAAATAAAATATACCTCTCATTGTACTTTTACCTTCACCACGACTAAAAGGGAAAAATTCTCAGAGCTTCCCCCATAACACTTCCATGGATACTTAAACAAAAATTAGAAACAAAGAAACTTCAAAACAGAAGTCTTTCAGATATTTGTTTTAACTGTTCAAGAATTCCACCAGGCAACTTAAGCTATTGCATACTGTCTCACTTAGGCAGAGATATTTTGAACTTTCAGCTCCGTAGAAGAGTTGAGTTCAACTGTATTATGAGTTTTAAATAGCCACTGTAAAAACCAAGTGGTTAAGAATGAAACAACTGAAACAACCCTTTTCATTCAGGGCTCATTCAATGAACATCAATTGTTTGGATGTTCTGGGGAGAACCAGTCACCATGTTTATGTCTTTGGCTATATATGACTATATTTTCACCATCCTCAGTTTTTTGCATCTTGAATAAAATACAGTACAGACGGCTCTCTTGGCACTTGCTTCACATTTCTTTACTGTGAAGAGGTGCGCTGATACTCTCCTTGACAGAGGGGCCTGCTCCTAAAGCCAGATGACCAGAGGATCACTGGCTAATTGAATCTCCAGAACCCCTTAAGCCTTACTCTAATCAGTTGTAATTATTCTCTTCCTTTCCTAATGTAACACAGAACACATCTTGTCCATTTCCATTGAAATGGGGATGAAAGATATCATTATTGAAAAGTCTTACAAGTCATTCACATAAAACAGACAGAAATGTAAGGTGAATATTCTGAGAAAAAAACCTGAGCACATTTACCTTGCTTATTTAAAAGAGGGAAAACTGTAAGTCACCTTGATTTTTAAGTCATTTGACTTCTATTACTTTTGTCTTCTACCCTTTTGTAATCTTTCTTACAAATTATTTTATAAAAAGTTAAGGAACAAAATTTATCTGGAGTTTGTTTATCCTAGGATATATGTTCAGGGGAGACTTCCACTGTATTTGTGGACACAGTAGATTCCCTGACACAAGTGTTTAAAATCATACAAATATTCAGGAAGCAAAACTTATAATTTTTTTTACCTTCTCCTTGCTACACTGATCTGATTAGACTAATAAATTGTAAAGAATGAAAACTGGTAGTTACATCAAATTAATGTCACTGAAACTATTGCAAGCCAATCAAAACTATTCAATATCCAAACCCATTTTATAGCTTCTAGGATAATCAGCCTAATAAGAAGTTGATCATCTTCAATTACTTTCAAACTGAACGTCAGAATATTTCTCCTATTAATTTGATTAAAATGATACCATCATCTTCCAAAGGCGCTGTGTTTACAGTAGATCTGCCTTGATCTACACAACTCAAACAGAGCCTTTAAAATCCAGAACATGTATTCATGAGCACAAAGCTCAGCTCCTCCTGGTCCCTTTTGCAGCACTGCTGCAATCGAGTTGGCTTGAGCCGAACCTCTTTGATGTAACAGAAAGGAATCCCAAGCTCCAAGGAAATTTATTCTAAAAATTGGCTTGAAATGTTACAAAGTAACAAAAATTCAGTTCTTTCAACAGCTGTCAGATCTCTTCAGGAATCTGTACTGCTTCTTTGCCTAGAATGAGCGACTCAGTGCTTGCTGAATTCCCACAGGGCTGCCTAAGAGCAGCCCCCATCACTGCCCAAGCAGGGCTGCAGGCTATGCTCAGATGCCCCAGTCAACAGAGCTTCTGTGTGAGAGAGGAACAGGTCCTGCCACTGAAACCTCAAATCTGCAGTACTGGAAGCAAAGTTACAAATGGAATACACAATTTCAAGACATTCTAGCTGAGTATTATAGTATAGATAATTTACCTGAATGTTTTGTTGGAAGCTATTTCTCTATTCCTAAGACAGAACACAAGCAACGTTAGGTGTAACTCTAGGATGAAAAAGTAAGTTTCACTACAACTGTTTCCTATTAATTTGCTAAATAATGCCAAACCCCAGAGGATATTATGTACCTGTAGCTCATTTACACTGGGTTTTTACATGTACAGATCATCTGTTCTGGACTAAAATACAAACAGTGCCTGTTCACAGCGAAATTATTAATGAAACAGGAAATAATCAGCCTAATTTTACTGGACATTAGATAGCCATGTTGATATTTGACATGCTAGACCTACCCAGCTCAAGAGTGCACAGCTTGTGAGGGACTGTTTTGGTTTGGGGTTTTCTCCCTGACCTCCCCTATAGACTTACAGGAACACATTCATCATGGAACACAAGGCTGTTTATGTTCTTTGAGCTGGCAGTAAAACAAAAGTCAAATTCAGATGTCTGCAGCCTCTAATTAAAAGAAGGAAAATAGTGTTTACAAGAAGGAAAATGGTATTTAACTAAAACTGTTTTAGATACAGTTCTGTTTACCAGTGGAAAGAAAACAAAGGTTAGCATGAAGCAAGTGCACATCAAGGATGAAAGTTTAAGAAACAAATAGTATCATCTATTTTAAAACTATCTTCCTACACCAAAAAAGGAATTCTTGAGCTATAGAAAAAGAATCTTTTTGGAAAGTAAAGTCTGTTTTCTACACAACTATTTTATAATAAACACTTATTTTTTTATAAGTAAGGAGCTAAACCTAAAAATAATGAAAGCATCATAATTAAAATCAAATAAGACTGAGAAGAAGCTCAAAACCAGAAAACCTTGTATCGTCAGGACAAATACTAATTGACAGACATGAGGCTTCTTTCTCACCATTAGGTGAAGAGTGATGTGAGATACTTGCCTTTTCTCATTCATGAGAGAACTAACTCCCCCTTTTCCTTTTTGTTTCTACAAAGACTCCCTACCCCTGTAGTTCACTTTCTGCATGAAGCAGGAGAGAAAAGGAGGTGGTGGCAGGAGATTGTCTTCTTCCTTCATAACAAAAACAGCTTTATAAACACACTAAAATAGGCATTAGGTATTCTGGAGCTGAACTTTAAGGTCATTCACCTTTGCTGTTTCCAGAATTATATGCCAATTCAGGCAAAAATGAACAGAGACATAGTTTCACAGATGATGTGAGTAGGAGAACACACCAAACTGGATCAAATACAACTATCTTGCTCAGCTTTAGAAGTCAGTCATTTCATCTTGCTCTATAGAAAGGAAGATATCCTGGGAATCCTGCCAGGAAAAATAGAAGCACCAAAGTTTAGAACAGAAAAAGGTTTAAAAGTCCCAGCTAGCTAATCACTTCTGAGGCAGAATGCAGAAAACTCACTCTGAGACAATCTTGAAGCAATAACAGACTTGCAGAATGTCTGGTCTTTTACCTATTTCCCGCCCTCAACTGAAAGAGGCAGTTCAGTAATAAGAAATATATAACTCAAGGCTGTGCTAAGTCAGACACAAGGAAAGAGTATTGCCCACAATAGTGAGCCAGCAAGGTACCATTTCCAACATCTCTTACGTATAGCCCTGCAGCCACAGAGGGACCACAAAATTCTCCCTACTGCAGCAGTTTTGCAAGCATGTTCTGCTACTATGAACAGCCATATGATTAGAGGCAATATATTCATATACTAGACCATAAGGGAAAAAACTAATCACATGATCACCATTACGTTTTCCTGTAACATATACAAGGCAACCTCAGACAACAGCTTCTTTCTTAAACAGGATCAGAAATACAGTATAAAAAAGATTCTGAGACAAACACATTAAGCAGAGAAAATGCAAACTCTGCAAGTCATGGATGGATGCACAGACATACAGATGGGAAACAGGAGTGCCTTTATTGTCACCCAATCATTTGTCAGCCAGTACCTCATAACACCAGAAAATCGACAAATTATGATGTTCCCCATAGCTGTACAGGTCTTCAAGGGCTTCTGAAGAGAAGTCTTTGCTCCTCATCTGGTGTGTTTGCTTTCTGGCATCTTTCACTTAAGAGATGACAAAAAAGTTTGCCAGATTAAATTTATAATCTTCTGAGTTTTTTTAACCTGAGAAAACACCCTTGTGCTTAGAAGTAGAAATTTCCCTGGAAATCTGAAGGAAGTGATTCAGTATGCAAACAGCACAAGACCAGAGACAAGATACATACTTCATTTTACAAAAAGTTAAAAAAATTCTTCTATATCCTGTGATCCAATTTCCCAAATGCAAAGAGTCATTCCTGCCAGTCTCCTAAATAAGCTGCTGCACAGACACATATATCACTGAAGGAGATGTGCACAAAAAGCTGTATGAGTAACCAAAAGGGCCTTTGGTCTTGAAGATACCAGAGGTATCTTCAGACCTAAGTCATTGGATGCATCCAGTGAAAAGTAAAGCTTTCAAAGTACAGTGTCTATATAAGAAAGAAAGCTGAGAAAAGTAAGAGCCAGATGATTTAACTATTCATACTTCCTCTTTCTTTTTACTTGCTTGATAAAATGTTCTGTGAAAAAGCCATATGATGACCAATCTAAAAATAAGTGAGTACTATTGCAGGTTCATTAGAGCAGAAGGCAGCAATTCTTGAGATACTAATTTTGCCTGGGCTGCTGCCAATATCATTAGCCCTGTCATTAGCTCAGCTCTGGTGGCACTAGTAATGACATTTGCAGAGCATGGCTGGGCTGTAGCAATGCCCTGCCAGCTGTTTGTGCCTATTGCAGCTACCCAAGGCACATCCAGTAGTCCCATTCTCCTATTCTTTCATTGGGTAGTATTTACAGGAGTCAAGTGAGAAGAGAGCTTTACACCCTCCAGCGTCATTGCCATACTTTTTTTTTGCTTTTTACTTCAGACTACAACTGTTTGAGGGATATTCCTCAGTGATTTACTGCAAGGTTTCCCTCTTTTCAAGTCTTTCTTACAAAAAGTTATCAGAAACAAGAAGTAGCTGCCAAGATTAGAGATGCTTATTTAGACCCCAGAAGAAGCCTCTCCAAACTCTCAGTCTCCTTCATGTTCAGATTTCATTACTGTTAATTTAAAAGCTGAGAAAGAGTAGGTGTTTTGAAACACTGAAGAAGCCAAGTGCATCAAAAGCCTCCTCTGACTGCAGAGAATATTTTGGCTGCTACTCAGAAGTTACTACCATAATTCAATTATTTTAACTCCAGCTAGGCTTCAGCATTTTGAAAGAAAGACTGGCACAGGGAGGAGAAACATAAAGCACTAGAACAGCAAAACTAAGGTCCAAGCAGCAGAAGGAGAATGTGCTTCCAATAAAATGAAAATATTTCATAGCTAATGACAATAATGCAGGGCTTTTTCTTCTCTAAAGTTCTCACCCTACTTGAAAAGTTTTCCAATACCTTAGCCATTAGGATCCAACAGACCACAGAATAGATGTAAATTCTGGACATAAATTCATGAAGGTCTAAATTATACTTTCAGTTTCATATTCTGATGTTTTATGGATCTAATTTTTTATGATTTATACAAATATAAACCACAGTATTATGTTTGTGAGTTACATAGAGGCTTGATATAGTATTTATATATACTAAATAAAACATACGCCCTTCACTGTCTTATTTTGAAGCACGCTCTAGCAAGAACCAAGAAAAATATTAAATTGAATATTTAACAGTATTTGCATGAAAAATTAATAATAGAATTAGAAAATATTTGTATTTTTTTTCTTCCTTATTTCTCAGGTACTATTTCATTCTTTCAAAGTCAGAAACTAAGGCTGTCAGTATTTTTTTCTGTTATGAAGTCTATGAACAGTGATTGTTAAGGAGATCAGAAGTTCTATCTTGTGAGTTACTTCACATAAACATCAGTTAATGGGGACTTTGATTTGCTAAGCAAAACTTGACAGGAAATTGCATACGCAGCAGAAAAAATGAAAAATTTACCTTTTCATGTCTTCCTCCTCCTCTAATAATTTCCCACAAGTCAGATAAAACAAATTTTATTCATTTCTCCTACAAGGAATATATACTGCTGGCCATATACTGGCAGACTGTTTGCTTGGAGGAGACCTTTTCCTCATGTTGCTCAAATATCTGTGAAAAGGTCAGGTATCCCAGCCAGGTATAACTGGACCCTTCTCAGTACCATGACTTATTTGGCCATCTGCATCTGTCAATACAAATACAGCAAACCAAAGGCAACAACATATTTTGTAAGTGAAAAACAAGTGGACAGGCCATTATTTCTATCTCATCTCATGCTGAGGTAGGTCGAACTAATAAATTTTTAATACCAAATAGCAACAGTGCAGTATTGGTTAGAGCTAATAACAGGCCAAAATAATTGTTCCAGTTCTTACTTACAGAAAAGCTCTCCCAAAGTAAAGAGAAGAAAAGACCACAAAGTAACCATATAGGTTCAGAAGATACTCAACTTACCCACCATCAAATTCTAATTATTAGCACAGTAGCTATACTAGATTGTGGTTTTCCATGGAAAAGAAAATGTATGCTTTAATCACAATGAAGAAATTCCAAACACCAATAACTTCATGATACAGAATTTTGTCTCTATCACTTGTGAAAGTATTTGCAACCTTTTCCTTACACTCTTTTTGTTAAATACTATGATCAAAAACATATATGTCACTTGTGAAAGTATTTGCAACCTAACCCTTTTTGTTAAATACTATGATCAAAAACATATATATCTTTCTTAACCTGCATACACTTTATACTACGATGTATTTCAATACCATTTCCATGCATTTTATTCACTGTGTTTTCCACCATCTGAAGACTGTTTTTAAGAAAACCTAAGCTCATGCAAAACACTTGCAGGATCAATCTCATGCTAGAGATACAACTGGACTAGTCCAATAAGCTTTCTGCACCATCTCAAGCAACTTCATTCAAGGTCCTAAAATAGTGTTATTTTGCTATTATTTTTAATGTCTATTTTAGTGCAATTCAAGTTGTTTGAAAGAAGAGAGTAATTTCAAATGGCTACAAAAATTCAACCATATTCAGTTGGATTAATATAAGTAAAGGTGAAGTCATCATTACAGGCTTTCATTTTTACTCCTGCTGATGGCAAAATGTCAGTGAAAGGTTCCCAGCAACACTTTTGAAATAAGTGCTATTCAGGAGACTAATTCTTGAATGTGAGAGTGGAATCACATCCAGCCTAAGCAGAAGAAAATCACTGCCCTTTCTGCATCTATACAGAAAATACAAAACTTTCTAGCTACGCTTAAAAGACTAAAAGGTGCTGGCATCATGCACAAATCTGCAAGAATTGAAATGTCATGTTCACTCTGGGAGAGAAAAGAATCCTCAGGTGCTCATTACCACTAAAAAGTGTTCCCACAGAAACCAAACCCCAGGCTTTCTCTACATGATCAGCTTTTAAAGGTTAATTAACAATAGGAAGTGATAAAAATTTATAACCTACTGCTTATAATTTTTTAATGGTGTGATTTCCAATTTTTTATCATTGGACTTACACTTGAAATCAAAGTCCCATCTGCTCACATCTCATGAAACCCTGGGGACAAAAAATAAAATTTAATATTCTAAACCTTTTATTCCATGCTGGAGATAGAGAATTCATTCATTTTCCATCCACATGCCCCCAGGATGCAGATTCTATGCAACTTTGAAATAAACATCCTTGAAAACTCTGTCATAATCTACAACACTTAAGCAAAAGAAAATTAGAAACAGTATGTCATGGTTTAACCCCAGCCAGACGCCAAGCCCCACAAAGCCACTCACTCAGTCCCCTACCATTAGAAGCATGGAAAGAATCCAAAGATAAAAGCAGGAAAATTCGTGGGTTGAGGTAAAGGAAGTTCAACACAGAAAGCAAAAGCCTCCCACACAAACAAAGCAAAACAAGGAGTTAATTCATTGATTCCTGTGGGCAGGCAGGAGATCAGACATCCCCAAGACAGCAGGGCCCCAGCACAGGTAGCTGTGACTTGGGAAGACCAACACCAACATGCCAAACATTCCCCCCTCACACCCCCCACTGCTCCTTCATCTCCCCACTTCATACCCTGATCCCCCATGGTCTGGAATATCCCTTTGGTCAATTCGTGTCACCTGTCCTGGCTTTGTCTCCACCCAGTCTCCCAGGGACCTCCAAAATCTTTGTCAGTGTGCTGGTACAAATAGCTGAAAAGGCCTTGGCTCCATATAAGACTTGTTCAGCAATAGCAAAATCATCTCTATATTATCAACCTGGTGATTAGCAGAAATCCAAAATACAGCCCCACACCACCCACTTTGAGGAAAATTACTGCTCTAGCCAAAACCAGAACCGATAATTCAAAAATATCTATTACCTGATCACTTTTGCAATTCAATATATATTTCGTGTAGAAATTTTGTTGCCTTATAAGACTATGGAAGAAAGGTGAGTTAGAACAAAGTAAAACTTTTTTCAGTAACTGAGAACTCTGGACTTGAGGCCTTGCACCTGTTATTTCATATGTGAGGGTTGCACAAATTTGCACATGGATTTAAGGCATTGCAATTGTGCACTACAGAAAAGCAACCAGAAATCTCCAGTCCTGAGAGAACCTTTCTATTCTTCTAGATCATTGCAGCTACTCATGGCTGGAAAAATGTTCACCTACATGATTACACCTGACTTGCACAATGACAACAAGCATCATTTGCAAGATAATTTTCAACCTGAAAAATATAGGCTGTGTCCACAATGCAGTTATAATTCACTGGAAGCATTTGAACATTCACCACAGGAGGGCAATCCTGATACTACAGCAGCAAGGTGTGTACCTGTGTGCGATCTCATGTCCATGCTTTCCCCACTTTCAATTGACAGGGTGCAGTTTCCATACTGGAAGCTGTGTCCTCTTCACCAGCATGCTGATCATGAAAAGGAGTGCTTTTTAACTGAGGATCATTGTTACAGCAGACTTTCCTTTGGCTCCCAGTCTTGTTTCTAAACAGTTCAGGGCATGGACAGATTAGAATTTCTGGAAGAGTTAGTGCTGGTTCTGCAAGTGTGGTTACCCAAAAATATTGAAAACCATCCATGTGGCCAAGTTAAAATGCAAAATTTCTAATATTCAATGGCAGAACATTCTTGATATCAATCCAAATCATAACCAGGATATTGTCATAGGGTAAACAACCCTATGGTAAAAAAAGGAATACAGATCTCTGTATATCAGCAATCAAGTGCCCTGAAATGTCTCAACTCATAGAAGAAACACCTCTTCAAGGAAGAATTTATTCCTTCACTATATTTTGATAGGTCCATGGATCTAAGCGAGCAATTGCACCCCATTTACTTAGGCAGTTAAACAAAAGAAACCTTTGCTTTCATCTTATCTCTAGAAGACATTTCATCGTGAAAAGTGCAACGTACTTTTTTCAAGAACACTAACATTTTGAATCCATGGATATCCATTAGATTTTTGCTAAGCAAAACAGTTAAATACGTCTGCTGAAATTTTCATAGCCTAAAAGTAACATCACTCCATGCTGCCAGCACAGAGTTTGGAACATACATTAGAACAAAATACTGTCAAAACTGAATTGCCAAAAAGCAAAAATAAAGGATTAAAGATGGCAGACCAAGTCAGAGATGTGAACCAAGTAACCCACCTTATTGTGAGAATGCTTCCAAATACCACCAGGAGGTATCAACTTATTCCACCATGAAAGCACTGAGTCATGTCACAACAGTAAGAAGTAATATTTAAGAAAGACTGTGTTTGTAATTTTTTATATTCTATTGGAAACAGAAGTTCCACTTATGATTAATAGCAGAATCCTGGTGCCTTCTGATCTCACATCACCATAATCTGACATTGCCTGACTTCAGCAGAGCTGTTATTACTTGTTTTCCTTTGACAACAGACAGTCCTTTTATTTAAGAATTAGAAGCTTACTGCTTTTGCATTGCTCTAATAGGGCTACTCAGGGGAACATTTTTTTTTCATGTTTCATGTCTACACTGTTTTCCTGAAATGCTTGAAATTCAGACAAATGTGTTTTGAAATGCTGGGTCTTGAGAGTATATATATGCACACAAATGTACCCACTCACTCACACTCTGCTTGCACAGAAACAGAGCAAGCATCCAAAACAAAAATTTTGCTTTGAGGCACCTTTCTGATGCACAAACACCAGAGGCTCAATGCAAGTTGTCAGAAAACTGCAGTGAAAGGCTCCTGTTCAAGGGTACTGTATTAAAGTTCAATGGTATCTGAATGTCACTTGGGCTCTAGGGCTGTCCACAGGGCAGTCATTCCACAGAGTGTTTCATGTAAAGTGGGATACATTCCAGTGCACTGTGACCCCTCCTTGTAGACACCAGGTCACAAACCAGTGGGGAGGGCTGCAGAGCAAGGACCTGCATACATTTATGTTAGATAGGCATCTAGCTTCTTAATATAGGTATTCCATCCTCAGCATGCTCCTGTGTTAGGCTGCCTGACAATATCACAAGAGATTGCTCATACTCAAAGAAACTTTCGTATATTTAAGGTGTTTTGCTTTGATCTTGAAAAGAAAATATTCAGCTTTGCTTTCCACACAGGTTAAACATTCGGACATAGACATGTAGGAGTGCTATTTCAAGGATCAGAACAACAAAAATTAGTTAAAAATAAAAATGCCCCAAAGCTATTTCTTGCAGTAACTGAAATCTTCAATACACAATGATGAGGGGAAGAGTATTGAACCTTAGAGAACCTTTATTAACTACTTTTTGGACCGGGAATACTAATCCTATTGCTAATTTTTGAAATATTGGGTCTTTAAACCCAACAGTTGCTCAGAAATGTATATCTTGTCTGGGTCCATTAAGATTCTGTATATCCTACAAATCATCATAAATTAAAAATACTATTCTTACAGAATTATGTATTAAGACTCTTGAATCTGATGCTGTGCTGAATCTGTTTCTTCAGTACCATTGCTTTGTGTACATTCTTTTTCAGACAAGAAAAGTCAAGAGTTACTAAAAATCCAAATACCATGTTCTGAACATCATCACAATAGCCAACACACTCCAATACCAAAAGAGAAATCGGCAACAGCAAGTGTCACTGTTTACTTCCCTCTCTATCACTCAGATATGAGATCAGCAACATCCCAAAAGCTGAATCTTACAAGGAAAAGGTGACATGTTCATTTTAGGGACAATGATTTCACAAACCTAAAGTCTGGGTTTTCTTTCTGAAAGCAGTTTCAAGTAGACTGGGAGACATTACAAATTATGTTTTAGAGCAAACTTTTTTCTCTTGTGTATAAATTTTAAAAATAATCAGATTTGTCTCATGTTATGTTCATCTACAACATTTTTTTTCCAAATATTTTCTTGATGCGCTGGGAGACATAGATCGCTAAGTCCTCTGACCTTCTGCCCAAAGATATCTTCATATTTTTTTAATGTAGAGGAAAATGTGCAAAACTGCGCATCTGATTCTGTGTGGAAGAACAGGCTCTTCAGAGTGTGAATAGAGTGAAGACTAAAGCAAACATTCATTATTGTAGAACAGCAGTTCCTGATATCCACAGCTGCCAATAAATACTTTTTTTTTTTAAGTATAAGAGGATTTTGCTAGTTTATCTTGAGTCTACTTGTAATTGCTGAATGGTTTGAGGTTGGAAGGAGCTCCTGGAGATTACCTGATCCAGCTGCCTGCTCAAGCAGGACTACAGAGATCCAGTTGCCCCAGACTATGTTCAAATGGCTTTTGAATATCTCCAGAGAGGGAGACTCCACAATATCCTTGGGCAACCTGTGCCAGCTGTGGACTCTCCATCCCTGGAGATAATCGAAACTGTCAGGATACCATCCTGGGCAACAGCCTCTGGATGACTGTGATTGAGAAGGAGCCCTGGACAAGTTCCCAGAGGGACTAATGACCCAGTATATGGGGATTAGAAGGTTCAATTCAAGGCTTATTTATTATTCAGATACTGAATTAGGCAGCCAGATATTGGCATTAAAAAGAATGGAGCACGATCAAAAGCTACACTTTTAACTACTATATGTTCTAGGAAATAACAGTCTTGTTCTTAGGAGAAAAATACCCAAAATTTTTCAGTTTCAATCTTGCCTTCAGAGTATATCCAGTACATTTTCACTGTTAGGCTTGGGTTTTGGCGATTTTTTTTTCTTTTTGGCAGAGGAAAAAAGCATGTAGTTGCATCCTAGAAAAACAACTGCAGAAAGTGACTAGAATATTCTAAATAAAATACTATTTTTCCTTAAGCATTAAAAAACCTTCCTAATTATATATGTACCTAGGAAGATATTCCATCTTCAAGAAGCACTTAGAATGTCTTGGTTTTCTCACAAAGCTTCCCTTCTGTTTCTAATTCTATAATTACTCAAGTGGTCCCAATTGCAACTGAAAGCCTTACATAGAGATTTAGGTTAATTTCAAAATTAAATTTTTAAAAAACCCATTATTGAAATAGACTTTGCCAAATGGAATGAAAGTGAAATGGAAATTATTTCTGTAATGTGGAATTTTTAAACTTCTCTAATGTAGTCTACTGCTGCCTCCTACCAATTTAGCATCCAAACTGCCTCCTGAGATTTTGAGGTTCTTATAAACTCTGTTGTTCTCTTCTATCAGCAGCCAGAGTACTGACAACTTCACAGCATTTACAAGTGTCCCATTTCTCAAACACCTCAATGCAGACATAGCTTCTGGAGGATGGAGGACCTTTGACATTTAGATCCCTTCTTCACTGCCTTTAATTAAAATTATCATACCCTAAGAGTCTGCAGACTGAGTGCATTTCTTTAGGTGATCATCACCAAACCTACCCTCATTAGGATTCTAATGGGAGATCTCTGCAAGGAAATAATGGAAATTTGATCACCCAGATCAAATCACATGGAGAATTTCTATCAGAATCCAGAGACTGCCAACTCCAAATCCATAACAGGAGAGCAGGAAGTTCTGTGCTTTCTGTACAAGTGGTCAACATTCCAGATTTTACTCAGTTAATTCACAAAGGAAAGGAGTATGCATTTTCATAGGCCTTGAATATATTATACATGTTATGAAAAAAAAACATCTGAAGCCATAATTTTCATAAAGATGTTATGTCTGGAGAATGTGGCCCTCTGGGTTCTTCACACAATACCCAGAAAAAGAAATTAAACAAGAAAATGCTAGCAATTTTACTTGCTCATAGAATCACATCTGATACCACCTTGGGAGATAGAGCTTTTGTTTGATATCCACCTGTTTGACCTGTCAGAATAAAAATACAGCAGTTGCAGCAGATGTGAGTCAAAGAGAAAATATCACTGACAGTGACATCTTTGTCAGGAAGGACAACTTTCCTGCTGAGAGAGTTATGCTAATTACCTGGAAATTCACAGCTGTTGAATACCAACCTCAAGATGTTTGAAAGCAAAAGCAGATATTTTAAGAAAAAAAAATAGTACTTTGTACCAGTAAATTTGTCTTCAAAGCAAAAATGTAACCAGCTCTGCTTGAAGTCCTTTAAGCTTCAGCCAGACTTTTACACTGACCTCCAGTATAGCTGATGTCTAACAAGAACCACAATTCTGCTAAAAATTAACAATCTCACCTCACTTGCAATTCATTGCATATTTATCTGAAAGCCAAGTTTTACTCTCAAGGAAATGCAAAAATATCTTAATTTAGAAAACAATTTTTTGCACTTGAGAAACCACAGTAAAATTAATGCTGCTAAAATCAGCTCTAAAATAAGGTTCTGTACATATAGTTCAAAAAGATCATTACAGGAATGAGTAATGACCTGTCACAAGTCTCTCATTTGACTAAAGAGCAGTGGATATTTGCATGTTCAAAATAAGGCAATCACACCATGTCTCCATTTCAGCCCTGGTCTCAAGACAAAACCAGAAACAAGGCAGTTTTGAACTCACAGTCCATCACAACACTTGATCTTTCACAATTATAGGAAATACAT